AAATAATATTTTATTATATACATAAAATCACGTGTAATTATATGTATCGAATCACATAAGATTTACGTGGAAAATATTCATTTTTGCATTCTCGATTCACTAGTTTTTCACGTGTATTTAATCACATTTGATTATATGTATTTAATAACATATAAATCATATATGATTCGATACATATAATCACATGTGACTCGATACATACAATCACATGTAATTATATACACGAGAAAAACTAATGAATCAAAAACATAATAACAAATCTTTGTAGGTGGGGTGGGGGTGGTGGCGGTGGGTGGTGGATGCGGGGTTGTGGTAATGGGTGGTGGTGGGTGGGTGGGTGGTTGCAAGTGGTGGTGATAGTGATGGGTGGTAGTTTTGGTGGGTGGTGGGTAGTTGTGGGTGGTGGTAGCGGGTGGTGTTGGGTGGGTGGTGATGATGGTGGGTGGTAATGGTGGTGGCGGGTGGTGGTGGTGGTAGTTATGGTGGGTGGTGGTGGTGGTGGGTAGTGATGGGTGGTGGGTGGTGGTAGTGGTGTGGTGGTGGTGGTGGGTGGTGGTTGTGGTGGGTGGGTGGTGGGTGGTAGGGTTGGTGGTAGGTGGTGGGTAATGATGGGTGGTGGGTAGTGGTTGGTGGTGGTGATGGGTGGTAGGTAGCGATTGTTGGTGGTGGTGGCGGACGGTGGTGATGGGTGGTGGAGGTGAGTGGTGGCGGCGGGTGGTGGTGGTTGGGTGGTGATGGCGGTGATGGTAGTGGGTGGTGATGGTGGTGGCGGGTGGTGGTGGTGGGTAGTGAGGGGTGGATGGTGGTGGTGGTGTGGGTAGTGATGGGTGGTGGGTGGTGGTGATGGTTAGTGATGGGTGGTGGTGACTGTTGGTGGTGATGGGTGATAGGTAGTGGTTGTGGGTGGTGCTGGCAGGCGGTGGTGGAGGTGGGTGGTGGTGGGTGGTGGTTGGGCGGTGCTGGTGGTGGCGGGTGGGGTGGTGGTGCGTAGTGATGGGTGGTGGGTGGTGTGGTGTTTCGTGATGGGTGGTGGTGGCGGGTAGTGGTGGTGGGTGGTGTTGGTTGGGTGGTGGTGCGTGGTGTTCGTTCGTGAGTTTTTTCCTTGTTTTGTCCCTATTTTTTGCTTTATCTCACTATTCTTTTCTCATTTTCCTTAAAAAAATTGTGTGGTCCCCCTTTATTATCCAATGTTCTCGCGATAAGAATGTTCTCGATTGAACGTTCCCCTATATATATATATATATATATATATATATCTATATATCTCTATATATCTATCTATATATATATATATATATATATATCTGGTAAAAGTTGCTACAAGAATTAGTCTACTGGAAACTAATAGATAGTTAGATTGTCTATCTGCCTATGCATTAATGAATGAGAAAGAGTGAGAGACGTCTCTTGCTGATTTATATAAATTACCAATGACACTTGAAGATGGTATTGTTGGGTTAATCTTGATGGTTTGGATAGAATACGGGTCAAGTCGGGTACGGGTCATTTGCATGGGTCATCAATATTCTGCATGTTAATGACTTGGCCTAGAGTTGACCGAATTTGTTGGACTTCAAAGTGAACAGTGGAGTTTGTTGTTACTTAGAAGGAAAACGTGGGGTGTTTATAAGAATGTGTTTTTATTGTTTTGTTTGTTATAAATAGGTAGCACTAGTAAATGTATTCAGTAGGAGGTAATCAGATTTTGTGAAAGTAATATAGATACAAACTTGCTGTTTTGATCGGCGTTCAAAAGAGTGAGTGAGGGCCTGATTTCCAACATTTGGTATCAGAGCCTAAGGCTCGTTTAGAAGAAGTGAGAGGTGATTTTATGTGAATCGCAGGAAGAAGTGAAGACCGACTGCTAAAGCAACAAAGACCGTTGTCAGAAAATCAGAATACCAGCGTGAGGAAGGAAGGAAGACTGGCGAGAAAGTCTGACCGGAACTCGCCTGCGACATAGAAACAGATAGTGACCGCTGCCAGGAAGATCTCTGACAGAAGACCGACAAAGCAGCAAGGGACCGGCTGCTTGAAATCTAGACCGAAGACCGCAGAGGGGCAAAAGAGATCCGAGATTTGCCTGTGAAATAGATCGAGACCGATCGAGTACCAATTCTGTGACAGAAAGGTACAATTTTTGACCGTATTATTGCACAAAGTGTGTGATATCAAGAAAGAGAATGCGATTGCAATCAGATTGAGAGAAGGAAGAAAGGAGAGACTATCTGTCTCCATGTCTATGCGTGGGTGGTTTTTTTTTAATGCTGGGTCTTTGTGAACAGAAGAAAGAAAGAAGCAACAACATGTTTGTTGCATGTTAGCAAGCAAGTAGCAGCAAAAAAAAATCACAGCAAGAAACAGTCAACAAACATAAGAAAGAAAGCAAGTTCGTGACAAGTACAAAGCATAAAGAAAGGCTGCACAACAGCAAATTAGAAAGAAGAAAGAAGAAAGAAAGAAGAAGAAAGAAAGAAGAAAGAAAGAAAGAAGAATGAAGAAAGAAGAAAGAAAGAAAGAAAGAAGAAAGAAAGAAGAAAGAATGAAAGCAAGCAGCAAGTCTGATCACTTTTGGTGATCAGAAAAAGAAAAAGGAAGCAGCAAATCCTTGTCATATGCTAGCAGATTAGAAACAAAACATCAAGTAGCAAGAAAAGAAAGCAGGTACCAAGAAACAAGAAGAAAAGTATCAAGATTAAGGGGGTGAATGTTGGGTTAATCTTGATGGTTTGGATAGAATACGGGTCAAGTCGGGTACGGGTCATTTGCATGGGTCATCAATATTCTGCATGTTAATGACTTGGTCTAGAGTTGACCGAATTTGTTGGACTTCAAAGTGAACGGTGGAGTTTGTTGTTACTTAGAAGGAAAACATGGAGTGTTTATGAGAATGTGTTTTTATTGTTTTGTTTGTTATAAATAGGTAGCACTAGTAAATGTATTCAGTAGGAGGTAATCAGATTTTGTGAAAGTAATATAGATACAAACTTGCTGTTTTGATCGGCGTTCAAAAGAGTGAGTGAGGGCCTGATTTCCTACAGGTATTAAGCTTTAAAAAGTACAAGAATTTTTCTATGAGATTGCTCGACTGTTTGTCTCTCTACAACTTGACCCTGCAAGCAAGAGATGTGTTAATTATCATCCAACAGAATCAAACAAGTAACTTCCTAACGAAGGGGCAAAAGGGTAAACCGGAAACTTTATAATATATATATATATATATATATATATATATATAAAGCAAACAAGTTAAGGATCCTAGGCACCCATTTTTTTAAAAACCCTGCATTCAGCCCCTAAATTTCTAACATATTTAAAAAATGGGTGTCTAGGATCCTTAAAGCTTTAGTTTCTTGTAAGGTATAGATAGACTTTGTAATTCCTATGCAAGAAAAAGTATGAGGCCTGGTACAGCTGGCTCATTAATTTATTAGAATGCATAAGAGCATCTACAATGGAGAGTCCAATAAGAGAATTGAAGGAGGTGGTAAACTTAGTTGTCATTTAATTTAATGGATGAAGCTGTAGGTGAGATGTCACATTAGCATTCAATAAATTTGAAATTCAACGGTCATTAAACCCTTCAAGAAGAAAAAAGAAAGTTTCCTAATTCTCAAAATAAATATTTAAATATATTCCATTGAACTTTGTATTGTAGAAAAAAAAAATGACATAAGTGTACCGAATATACGATAATGATTTGGCAATCCACTGAATTCTATAGATCTCAATGCATTGTGAATGCCGTAATATAGCTACCGTCCCACCCATTTCCATAGACCTCTAATAAGATGGACGTTTAAAGGTAGGTGTTATCAGCACATAGAGTAGCATACATACATCCTGTGATCCTGAAGCCTGATACTGTTTTTGTATATAGGCATGTCAACTACCTTCTGTGTGTGTATCAGATCCGCTCTAAAAATTAAGATTCATGGAAATTTTTTATGTTTTCAAAATGCATTGTGAGGAGTTCGTGAAAATTTTGACTCATTGGTAATGGAGGCACAATATATGGATAAACTCTCACGCATACAAGATTGATAGGTGTTAAAGAATGTATGCGAGTGGGTGGGCATGTTATCAAGAATCACACCGAAAGCAATTAAATTCTAATCGTTTCTAGCCTGAGAATATAGTTAGGGTGATAGAAAGAATCTGGTTGAACTAAGTGACTAGTGTTAGAATCTTTCCGTTTTTCTAGTGGACTTCTGTGGCTAAGTTGTGAGGTTCAAAGAATCTGCAGTAATCGAACTCATGGTCCTTAGCTTTCACACGTCGACCAAACATTTAAGTTTTTGAGAAAGGAATGTGATGCCTCTGTTAAGTCGTATTAATGATCAAAAAAATTATGCACAGACATCTGTTTAGAAATCGCAGACGCAAAAGAGTAATAACGCTCGGAAACTAGACCAATCATGTTTTTACCAACATAAGTATAAAGGTTTTGAACAACATCTCAGTCCAACTATACTAAAGCAAGTAAAACATAGAATAAATCAATCTATACAGATGAACATCCTACCTAGGAAGTAAACCTTCATTGATCAAGTAGGAATCTTTCAGACTTCAACTGTCTTGGCAACATAATCGGTATCTTTGAGGAGGTGGTCATTGATCTGGCACACATCACCCCGAAGATGGTCTTGACAAAAACATCAGTAGTTTTGTTGCTTGATCGTCATTCAAAGAAAATTGATCATAGTATGTTTAAGATACAGGTTTATGCAAATGGGATAAAGAATATGTGTTCAACTTGTTCCTTGGTGTGTGGAAAGATAAAAAAGTATCCATCTTTGAAAGGTACCTTTAGTAGGTGTCAAGCATCTAAGAAAAGCACCTAATTTGAATGTTCTTGTTTGAAGAAAATGAGTCCAACATTACCTGTTTTATATAAATAGAAGTAGGACGAGTACTTCAAACTTCAAACAAAGATCACATACTGTATCTTCCTCCTCAGCCCTTCTCCTAGTTTCTTTCTATTACCAAATCGAATTAAGATGGACAAGATTCAAACATTGACCTCAGAGAATGGAGTTGTGATATTTAGCAAGAGCACCTGTTGTTTGTGCTATGCTGTGACTATTCTGTTCCAAGAACTTGGGGTTGAGCCTTTGGTTCACGAGATGGACCATGAACCAGATGGGTGGGAGATCGAGCAGGCTCTGCTAACCCAAGGACGTAACTCCTCTCCTGTTCCAGCTGTATTCGTAGGGGGGAAACTCATTGGGTCCACCAACGAGGTCATGTCCCTGCACCTGAGTGGCGCCCTCATCCCAATGCTCAGGCCATACCAGACACTCGCTTAGAAAGACCTCAAGTTGAAGAAATAAGTTTGGCTCAAGACCATGCGTATTAGTTATTATATATTCAACTAGTTTAGCTATTATTCTATTAGATTAAAGGCGATGAATGTAGGATAATATTATAATCAGTAGCTTTTAGGTTATTAATTTAGCTGTCTTGATATGTTCACATGTGTTCGATGAGAAGACATGGTTATCCTTCATTTGAATGTGATTGCTAATTATTGAGTGCACTCAAAACCCAAAATTAAATGTTGAGATCTCAGAAAGCAATCCATAGTACATATGTATGAATTGATTTTTGCATGAGTATGAATTAAGTACCACAAGACTCTGCCACTTTGCCATGTAGCTGGTTTTGTTAGGACTGAACTCGGACTGGACAAGCTTTCTGTGACTATTTTCAATGATGAGGATGAGGAGAGACAAACGATTAACGATTTCACACACAAAGTAATTAAGAAAACAAAAAAGACAAGAACACAATATTTACGTTATTCACACAATCAAAGTGATAGTGATCGGCTATGTCCAGGGAGAACACAAGAGATATTTTTATTGATATTGCCGAATTGCTTAGATATTTTTAAGTTACACCAATTCTACATTTTTTAGTGCTAAAGTACAACTTTTGTCTCATCTTATTCTACATTTTTAAGTGCTAAAGTATAACTTTTGTCTCATTGGCATCCTTCTCACCCATCAAACATAGTACAAATTGTCATTTTTTGCCCTAAACTATATCAATGCACACACATACATGATCATCAATAGAATTTGAAGAAAAATGGAAAGAGATCATGAAAAGAGAGGGAAAAGGGAAAACACCATCTTAAAAGAGGGGGGCGCATGCCACAATGTATTTGATTCTTTTGTGTGGTTTTTAGGGGTGCAGACAGGGACGGCTCGAGAAAAGATTCTGTAGTGTAAGAAAAATAAAAATTCTTGGATCCCCTACCAGACAAGAGTGACCAAAAGTACCCATACAAAGGGGGAATGCTGTTATTAGTATTCATAATTAGGCTGCATACACCAGACATGAAAAGACATGACACAATTGGACTGTACTGGCCGGGACAAGCTTTCAAGGGGTATTTTCGATGACAATGATGAGGAGAGCATTTACGTCTTTTACACAAAAAAAAAATGCAATTTTTGTTCCATTCACATCAGTTTGGGTGAGGACAATTATGTCCTATCTTGTCATGCAAGATAAACGATGCTTACATTACAGACTTCATTTTTGGCCATAAAACCAACCTTATATTCAGTTATAACTAAGAACAATAAAAAAAAATCAAAGCTCGTGGGGTTTTATTTTGTTGCAATTACTTTAAGTTTTGCTTTCCGTTTGCACTACCCAGGAAATATGATGGGCGATCTAGAATATATGGAGGCTCTGACATTCCTACTTTGGTTTGCAAAAAAGTTAGAGAAGATATATTCTCCACTTTTACATAAAGAAAGGAATTCAATGCCTCAAGCTTTCATTTTCATTCACTCTTTTCTAATATTTATATCTTGGGGTTTCTTTCATACCTTCTTTTTCAAAAAGTTAGCACAAATGAAGATTTCCTGGGAATATCAACCAACTGCCGGTGACTGGTAAGGAATATAGCTTCTTCATCAAACTTGCTTCTTTTATGATTATCTGGATATTCCCCTTTCATGTAAAGCTCCATACAAATTCATGTGCTTGTCTGCCTAAAACACAATTTTCCATTCATGGCCACCATCTTTTCTTGATTCAAAGCTTTTGTTTATTAAACACAGGCAAACGTGATTTTGCATGGTCTTTGTAAAAAGACTTTACCATTGACTCATTGAGATGCTCTAACATTAAAAAAAAAATTTAAAAAAAAAAAAAAAAAAAAAAAAACACACACATCCGTAATTTCAGCACCCTATTTTGTAATGATATTTTTTTGTATAATTTCATTTTTTGTAATTCTATGCTAAATGTTTAACGATGTGAATGAATAATGTAACACCAAATTTGATGTCGATTTCGTCAATTTCTAAAAAATCAATATTTTTACAGTATGGTTGGAGGTGGTTTAGACACAAAAGTACCATTTTGAAGTACGGTGGAGTTGGTCTAAAGCCTTCCAAGTTCCTTTCTTCCAAATGTTCCCACATATGTGAGGAAATTTTGAAGAGAAAAGCAGTCAAAACTATTCTTCCATTTCTTTATTTTCCTCTTTATTTCCTTCCAAATCTTCCCCTTTTCCACTTTCAAATCTCAAAAACATGGTGTAGGAGCATTCAACATACATTAGCCACCATCTTTAACCAAGAAATTAAAGGTTGGTAGATTAGGCCAATCTTCAAAGAAACATTGTTATTCAAGTGTATCTAAGAACGATAAACATTATGTTAAAGATCAGGTTGGAATCACCCTTGCACAACGCAGAAATTGGGCCCAATTCTCTTTATGAAAAGCAACTAACCAAGTTGACAGAAACAGGATACTCAAAGATTACAACTAGATTCTTTCCTAAGTAGTAGCGAAAAAAGTGGTAAAGATTTGCCCAGAAAATATAGAATGGCGAACATTAATCTTTTTTACGAATCAATTCCCATCAATCTCACTCATGAAGTTCTTGCAGAATCATGAAAATGGGTGGTCGGGTGGCTAAGCTAGTAGATATATCATTAGAATTTTTGAAGTTAGTGATTGCCACGTCGCTCCACCGTGCTAATTAGATATATCATTAATTTGTGTGTAAAATGAAGAAAGGAAGTAATCACTATGGGCGTGTTCGGCAAAATTAGTTGGTAGCGGGTGACTTGTAGCGGGTAGCGGGTAGCTTGTAGCTTGTAGCGTTTTGTTAAACGCTACATGAAGTAGCATTTGGATTTGGAGCGTTTTGTTTATACTAAACGCTAGAAGCTTGTAGTGTCAAACGAGGCTTTTTGTTCAAAACGGAGCGTTTTGTCAAACGCTAGAAGCTAGAAGCTCTCAAACGCTCCCAAACGCTCTGTGCCGAACACGTTCTATATCACTACAAGAAAAATGGTGATCAAAGACAGACATAATCAGTTTTTGATGGGCAATAATCAGTCTCTGATGAGAACCATTGACTGATTTAGCTAGTCCCCGAGACCTAGTCTTAGATAGTTGATTTTTTATGTATCTGGGACTGAAACTCAATCCCTAATTCATCAAAGTATTAAAACAGAAAATCAGTCTTAGATAATATTTCATTCGGTCTCTAATTCTTTTCTTCAAATCCCCAATTTGATGTCATATCAGTCATTGATACTATCTTTTAGGGATTGAATACCAGCCCTTTATCATGTTAGTCTTTGATAATATCATTTGGGATTGAATATCAGTCTTCTAAACTATCTAGTTTAGTCTAGAATATTTTTTTTTCAATGACTAAATATGAGTCTCAAATACAATGTTATTCAATCCCTAACCTGATATTTCAAAGACTAGATACCAGTCTCAGAATACAATGTCATTCAGTCTCTAACCATAACACATTTATATTTAAAAATTAGGTCCAAATTTTTTTATAAATTTAAAATACAAAATAATAATAAAAACTTAACATAATAAATAGAAAACAAAAAAAATTGAATTAAAATTTATCTTGTCTTACAACAACATTCTAAATATTTAAAAAAAAAATATCTTCCGAACTTACTAAACATACCCATTAATATTCATAAAACACATGCCCTAAACTCATATGATTTGGTGCCAATTTTGGAGAAGTTTCATGGTGATTTAGAATCTTTAGGTGTGCATGAACCAACAAGTAGGAAACTTCTCCTATGGTGGCTCTACGTGAATGTTCTTCCCCAATTTCAACAAAGACCCAATTCAAAATCTTGAAAACCCCACAAAATTATAAAAGAATTGAAGGAAAACAAAATATTCGGTATGCTAAAAAAGGAATTAAACATGCGAATTTCAAAAATATATGTGTACTTGTCAAAATGTGGCATGTGTAAGGTTGGAACACTTTGGGTTGCGATGGCAATGATCTGCAGCAAAGAAAAAACATTAAAGTCCCAAACATGACATGATATCACGTCAAATAGGAAATTAGAGAAGGGTTCTCGTATGCACAGTAAAAATGGGCATATGGTTTAAATTTTTTTCGATTGAAGTCTAACTATTTCAAAAATTGTGGAAATAGTCATTTTCCCAGTTTAGTTATGGATTTTGGTCCCTTTTAAATTTGAAAATGACTAATGTGCCCTTTAACATTATTATTATTTTTTCATGTGTTTTAAATAAAAATGCTATTATTAAATCAAACGGATCTTATATTCCTTACACCCACAAATAACACACCAAAAAAATATGATTTTGGTCAATATAGAAAAATAGTATTTAAGACCAAAAAAATAAATCGTCTATGCCCTAATGATTTATTTTAAATTATATCAAATGTTATATGCTAATGTTATAAACAATTATTAAGTTGGGATATTAAAATGATAATGATATGAACTAAAAAAAATCAAAATATTAAACGATCTTTTGAAATGTATATATAAATTGAAACGAGGACCCAATAAAACAAATATTTTTTAGGTTGCCAAAGCTTTTGATCGTCATAACTAAATAAAAACTTGCTCTCGAGGATCGAAAAGATCTCGTAGTTGAGTTTATCGGTGTCGATGCTCGGTTCTTGCAGCATTTCTAATGATAATGATTCGAAGCCATTTTCTTCTAATAACAACAATCGATTATTTTCCGAAATCTTCACACACACATTCCTTCCAATTAGAACCCTATGTACGTAATCACTTTATGGCGTTTCCGACTGTTGATGGTGGTTTGTGTTGCCTTCAACGCCCCTTTTCTAGGTTTCATCGATTTCTTAATCTACAAAGTTCCCCGGTTCATGATTCGATTTTTAGGGTTTTGACGAGAGAATTTGTCTCCCGACAATCACTTTGGTATATCAAACTTTTAGTAATGAAATCTTTGAGATTAAAGCTCTTCAACCCACGTTTGGTTTCTTGAACTATTCTTGGTG